TCTTCACCTTTCTAAATAACATACTTGTTGCTCTAGATCAGAAAGAAATCCCCATTGGTTTGTTTCTAGATCTATCAAAGGCATTCAACATTATTGACCATTACATACTGTTATTCAAACTTGAAACTTTCGGAATTAGAGGCATTGCACATCAATGGGTTACATCTTACCTCTCAAATTGTTGTCAAGTAGTCACAATCAAGCATGTTAGAGATAAATAGATTTCTACCCATTTTTCCCAACCTAGAGTGATAAATTATGGAGTGCCACAAGAATCAATCCTAGGTCCCATACTATTTCTATTATACATCAATGATATACCCCTGACGCTACAAAAGAGCAAAATGGTCCTATTTGCAGATGACACTAACTTTATTATTAAAGTAAATACCCAGCAAACTCTACAAAAAGAAGCACAGTCCTAGAGGCACTAGAAAAACGGTTCCAGGAAAATAAACTCAGCGTAAACACTGGTAAAACTGTCTCCCTAAACTTTCGGAATCCACTCTCTAAAGAAAAGCCTCCAGCATAATTGGTGATAAAAAACATGCCTGTAAAAATAACCCAAAAAACAACTTTCCTTGGATTGACTATTCAAGATGATCTAAAATGGAACTCCCAAATCACAGATCTAAACAACAAGCTTACCAAGTCATGATATGCCTTATACATCCTGAAGTCAAATTCTAACTTAGATACACTGCGAATGGTGTACTTTGCAAATGTTCACTCACACCTAGAATATGGAATAATATTCTGGGGAAATTCTCCAGAAAGTATTCACACTTTCATCATCCAAAAACGAATATTTAGAACAATGACAAACACAAACATGAGACCTGAAAACCACTGTTCAAAAAATTACAAATACTTCCACTCCCATGCATGTACATATTTGAAATATTAATCCTCACAAAGAAGACACTTATGGGAAACAAGGATTCTGTAACTCTAAACACAGAAGTTCATAACTATGATACTAAACAAAAAAGAAATCTGGAGAGTGAAACTACACTCTTTCAAAAAAGTACCCTTATAGAAGGCATTACACTATATAATAAACTTCCTAGCAAATTTAAAAAGCTTAAACTCAAAACAAGCACTTCAAACACCAACTGAAAGCTTTCCGCATACATTCCAGTCTAAATAAGATACGGCATTATAAACACTGTGATCTACGATCACATAGTAAACTAGTACTAATAATTTTTGCATTTAACTGTTGCATTTTTTTCAAAGCCCCCTGAACTGGTTGTTGGATATAAAGGACGGCCCCAGCCTAGGCACTAATCTATGAATTTCTTTTTTTTTATTATAATTGATTTTTAACTTGTCTTCTTACAGTACTTATCTATAAAATTAATTAGCATTCCAAAATTAATGAGAATTGATTTTTAATTTTTGTCTTGTATTTAATTTTTAGATATATCTGTTCTGTGTATTTTATGATTATATAATGGTGTATGCTGTATTTATGTGACAAATATATTATTATTATTACACTAAATAATGCATAATGAGAAGGAAAGTACATATGATCTCAGGAATTAAATTAAATAAAAAACATTTATCAATAATTTAATTGTTTGTTAATTATGATGTATAATTACTAAAAATAAGATTGTTTATTAAGAAACTTAAGCAATATTCAGATAGAGAGCAGTTGAAGATAATTGAATACAGAGCAAATATGTTCAAAAACGAAAACTATTTGCTATTAATTCTGTAACTTGTAAGAGGTACAATAACATTCCCAAATATGAAATTGATAATTAGAAATAGCTTGTATCGATGAAATGTAATTACAGATTGATAAGTATTCTTTTTTGAAAAATTGTTGATAACGATGATTATAAACTGCAAGGTTCTTTAAAATACCAGATATATGTGGGTCTTCACAAGATTTAAGAAAGGAACCTGTTTTTCATGCGGAGTAAAAATACGAAATAAAAAGCATGTAATTGAATATATTTAATATATGTTAATTCGTTTGACATTTAAGGCCCGTTTTCACGGTGACATAAGGCATAACATAAGCCACGACACTTGACAAGCACGACTTAAGTGTTAACTTAACACTGTTAAGTCGATACTGCGCGTACCAAATGTAGCGAATTTTTCCATTCGCTTCATTCTCTCTGCACACACCTGCACAGAAAGCGCACCCCACCACATCCTGGCCAGCCAATCAAATTACTTCTATACTGTACCCACCAGAGCGCACGTCAGTAGAGTATTTTAAATCTGCTGGCTGGCAGTTGCTGTAAACGCGCACACGTTCCGCCCGTTCCTTTTGTGAGTTTATAGGTCGCAGTTATATTGTTACAAAATAATTGTGTGATAAGAGGTGAGTTGAATATTGAGCAGGTTATTTGTTTGTTGTTTATACTGACACTGAAGAACGAAAATAAATAAACGTGCTATTAATTCCTTGTGATGTGAAGTGACGTTTATGTGACCTCAAGATCGTCAACTCTGATCATGATGATCTCGAAGAAAATGTATAATTATTCCCATATTTCGTTGGAGTGCCTATTAATAATTCCCTGAAACAAATATTTGTCACTCTTATTATATATTACATTCGTTGTCAGAGAAAAGAACGTTGAAACAGCATTGTAAATTTTAAAAAAATTTAAACTGTTGAAGGGAAGGCTTACCAACTGTTCACACTCAAACTGCTTGGGAGGCAAATACAAGTGACGGTTTCGGATGTCAGAAAGGTCTGGTTCTTTTCGGTGTTCAATAGTTTACCGGGTTGAATTCATAGGAAATTTCTAATTCATTTTTGGTGAGTTTTCGTTCCAACGAGTATTAATATTCTTTCATATGCTGTAGATCTCCGCAATGACGTTTCATTTAGTACAGTATCCGAAGAACAACGGTTTTTGAAGTTTTAGGAGTGATACAATTTATTTTTCTGGGGATTATTAATGTGTTGACAACTTTATTGTGCCGTGATGGAAATAATTATCTTTAATATTTCTTGTCCTTGTCAACTTTATGTATTATTGTTCATTTCTTATTGACCCTTTTTTGTTGGCTTATATAAAAAAACAAAATGAAATTTTCACATTCTCATTATTAATTAAATCTTCAAATACTCAACGTTTCGACAATTTTGATATATTGTCATCTTCAGGCTTCATTTTAATACTAATATATACAAATTAAATTTTTGGACTGCTTAAATGGTTTCATTAAACAGCCACAACTGCAAAACAATGTTTATATAAATACTCACCTCCTTAGATGCATCACAAGTTTGAAGATGACAATATATCAAAATTGTCAAAACGTCGTGCATTTGGAGATTGAATTAAAAATGAGAATGTGAAAATTTCATTTTGTTTTTTATATAAGCCAACAAAAAGTGCTGTCAATAATAGATAAAAAAATTATCTTCAATCAGTGAAATGTAGCAAGTGTATACTTTGAATGTGTTATGCTGTGTACTCTAGTAAAATAATATAGATTAGAGATTATCAGTAATTTGTACAGCATAATTGGTAAAAAAAAAAAAATTAAATTACCATTTATTTCACAAAAAATTATATTTTATTTATCATGATGACCACAAACAATAAAACGTAACTGTTAATCCCCATAATCAGCAAGGATTGAGGTCAATAAAGTCTCAAAAACTTCCAGAGGACACTAAAGCTGGTGCATTTTCTCCAATTCTGCATGCAAGGAGAAAGGTAAACCTTCCCATAGCAACCTCACCATCCACCAAAGAGTTTAAAAAGAGTTGTTCAATATCAGGATAACTCATATTAATTTCAATACAGTGAATGGAGCCTTAACAGCAATAAGAACCCACCCCAACCTCTACATTGTCTAGACAATGTTTATGATTCAGGCTACTGTTAACAAAAGTTATTTGGATTAGCCCTCCCTGTGGACCGTCAATCGACAATACAAAGAGTGGAAAAAATTTTAAAAGTATATTTTTGTTTTCAAATCAAAATTTAAACCCATAAAAGGAGGGTCCAGTAGGCTCACCCATTACAATTGAAACTTTCAATAATAAAAAATGTATGTCAGAAATAAAATGAATTAAATTATAATGTTGCACGAACTATGTATATGAAAAAACCAATTCAAAAACATAATTAGCCGAATTACAATTAGCTGCCAAACGAAGTACTTCAAATCTCATCAAGGGAAGCCATTTGATAATTATAGAATGAAATTAAAAAACCATTGGGAAGAAAAAAGAAAGAAAAAAAACAAATTAACTCACAGATCATTTCCATCTGCTTTATTATAAATAGGTCATCTTCCAACTTGCCAACAAGTAATACTGCTATAGAATTCAAGATTTATCTTTCCCACTCTGGAACACAGTTCATCCCAAAACATCCATCTGGGTAATATCACGTTATTATACATACGATCTTTACAAACAGACCTGCACCACAAACAAAATTAACTGAGAAAACTTACTGTTCATTTACATTTCACATTTCCTACATTTCATACAAGTACCTAAAGGGAAATTATCTCTGATAAATCTTTAGTAATAATTAATTTACTACATATGACATTTCAGGAAACTAAAATAATTAAACAGTGCTACTAATTTGTGGTCATCATGATAAATAAAATATAATTTTTGTGAAATAAATGGTTAAATTTAATTTTTTTTTACCAATATGCTGTACAAATTACGGATTAATCTCTAATCTATATTATTTACTGATACACAGCACAACACATTCAAAGTATACACTTGCTACAGTTTCACTGATTTGAAGTAATTTTGTTATCTATTATTGACAGCACTTTTTGTTGGCTTATATAAAACAAAATAAATTTCACATTCTCATTTTAATCAATCTCCAAATGCAGACGTTTTGACAATTTTGATATATTGTCATCTTCAAAACTTGTGATGATCTAAGGAGTGAGTATTTATATAAACAGTTGTTTTGCAGTGTGCTGCTTTAATGAAACATTTAAGCAGTCCAAATTAATTTGTAATTATTAGTATTAAAATGAAGCCTGAAGATGACAATATATCAAAATTGTTCGAAAACGGAGTATATTGAAGATTTAAATTAATAATGAGAATGTGAAAATTTCATTTTGTTTTTTTATATATAACAACAAAAAAGCGGTCAATTAAAGAAATGAACAA